AATACGAAGCGATGTTATAAAAATTAAAACAATGAGCACAATGTATTGTTGATTAAATACAAAAAAATGGAATGAATGCGAATTGAACACAAAGAGACGGGCAAATGATAAAACACAACCCAAAATAAAAAAACAGGCGAATCAAAACGCAAATCCCGACTGCCACAATGTGGAAAACTCGACGCATAAACACAGTTTTAGTTCATACATATTTCGACTCACGTGGAACGCGGATATTTTTAGTTTATTAATGAACACGCCATGGAATTACTTCCCGTCATTGGGAAGCAAAGAAAAAAACGCCCACAACAAGAGCCGGCTTTATTAAATCAAACGTCATTATTTCCTCGCTCCGCGAAAAAATATTCATTAGTTTTTCTTGTTAATATTTAGTTACTAATTGGATACGCATGCATCTTGAGTTGCAACTAAAGTAATTGCGCGCGTTTTGACCAGAGAGTGGCGAAATTAATTAACTCCGAAAACAACAGGTAGCAAATGTATGCGGGCAAAACAACAAGCGATCGAAAATATGACACATTCAAGCCGACCGCATGCTTGTTAATTAAATCGTTTTCGCACAATGTGCAACAAATTTAATAACAATACACACACTACACACGCGAGCGCAGATTATTTAAACGCATGTGCTACGCGTGCAAGATAAACATCATAAATTATACGGCTTTGATTTTCGCAGGGGGAATTTGGAAACATAATTAGAAAATCATTTAGAAGTGTTGCATGTTGTTTATTCGGCGTGCGCGCCGCGTGGAAACTTTGCGAATATTTTTCGCCGCGATGGCGCGTTGTTTCCGTTTTTATCCAGTCGTTTGGCGAACTCTGCTCAAAGTAATTCGGCGCTCTTAAACTTTTCACAAGCTTTCGGCCACGTTTTGAACTGCTTGCCGTAGACCCTAGTTGTTTTTATTATTTTCGTGATTAATTTTTGATTTGGCAGTGGTATAATATATTGCACAAGTTTTTCGTTATTTTTTTAAATTAATACTTAAAAAGTTCAATAGTAAAATATAATAAAATCGGTTAAAAATTGAATTTTTCATTTCGCACCCTCAAAATTTGATAAATCTTTCAAAAACTATTTTTTATCAATAGACAAACTAATTTTTATATGAATAAACGCATTTTTCACTTGATATTTTTCATGTTTTCAGAGAAATTCAAGTTCTTTAGTACAACTGACTTAAGTATGCGTTTTATTCATACATTTCTGAATTAAATCAAAACAAAAATAGCAGAAAAACTTGATATTTAGCTAACAATTCCATTTTTCAAATTTTAAATTTTTTTTACTAAAAACCTAAACTGTAGAGAAGCGAAAAATATTTTTCTTCTAAATTTTTGTATTCCACAAATATGATTCTAAAAGAATATTCATTTAATTGTAATAAAAACTGAATTAAATCCAGTTTATTCTTATTAATTTAATAATAAATTAATACCACAACATTTGTTGATATTGCAGTACAAAGTTCGCCTGTCTAGCTCCTGTTTAACTTTAAATAAAAATAATTTTTATTGTGCAACACGTAACCAAAATTAATTACAGCAATAATTGATAAACCAGCAAGCTAATTAAGCCAGATGAACTTGCACAGCTAATCTTCAATCGCTTAAATCCCTAATGAAGTGATGAAAGCCTCGCGGACCGGTTTTGTCGGATAGCACTTGCGCATGCTGCATGTAAGACGTAAGTACTTGCAGCTGCAATTAACACAAACGCGCCGTAGTTAAATAACAACCCACGCGTTTAATTTACTATTTTATTGCATTAAACTTATGCTTGTGAGCAAACAACACCCGCGCACGCACACTCCGTTGTATTTATATTTAAACCGGCGTGCGAAATGGAAACAAGTGACCGAAAACGTGACCAATGAGATTTGAAAAAAATTACTCTATTGCGCGCGGGTGCGGTGCAGATTAATTTAAATGCTTGCGTTTGGAGTATTTTGAGTATGTTCAGTGGCCGGACACCACCACGAGTGATTAATTAATTAGTTGCTAAATTGGTTGGTTACATGTCAACGTACGCACATCGGAATGAACACATTTGTCAATTTTGGTTCACCGAAATGCGAATTAAAACCACAACGAAATCCGGTCGATAGAAATACTTTCATCAGCGTCAAAGTTAAATATCTCTAGAAAATATTTGATTTATATTTTCGGACAAAAATTCTCGAAGAAAAATCATGAAGGCACTGCTTTTACTAGCCCGTTGGGCTGAGTAATACGTGTGTAAGTTTTAATTACTTATTGTTGGTGCGTCGAATGAGTTATAGCATTCGACCCACGTGCACTAAACATAAATGAAACTCAAAACCAAAACAATTTATGAAAATAAAATTTTTCGCAAATTTAACTCGAATAAACATTTCAATAAAATTCCGATGTTTTAATAATATTTGTTATGGACATTGAATTTTAAAATTAATAGTAATAACATCACTTCATCAACATTTTTGACACAGTTTACCAATGTGATTTAGGTGAACCGCGAACATACGACCTCAATCAATAGCAATAATTTCAATAAACGTGTTTGTGCCTTAATTGCGAGTTTGTTTCATAATACAATAATATGCAAAACGCGTGCGGCGATTTGCATAGCTTTCCCTAATTCGTGAAACTAAAAAAAAAATACATTATCATAAAATATAACACACCAAAAAAAAATTTACCTCAACTAAATCTTGTAATCACATGAAATTGTTTAAATTACAAGATAATAAAAAATACGCCAGAGATAACGCGTTTCTAACACTGGAATTGTTAAAAACGCAAACATCATACCAAGAGATATGGCTTTAAAGTGATTACAACAGAACGGAATGCGTATAAAATAAAATCTCCTCATCGTAGGTTATCATGATAGAGTAGTCTCCCGCCTGCGTGGCGTAGAATAATGTGAAAAGTCCAGCGAGTTGTGCACTAGTTGGCGGCATTCGCACATTGCTGTTACACATAACAGCGCACACATGTAGGTATATAGTGGACGAAATAAACGTTCTAATTACACCGATTTTAATTTAATAGCGCACCACCGGAAAATGTATTAGATTACGCGGAGCGCGCAACTTGAATAATTAAATCAAAACTTTGCATTCTCGAAACTTGCGTATGTGTGTCTGTATTCACGTCATACCACACCGTCCAACGCTCCATCATACCGCCTGTTATGAAACAATGTCGACTATTGTCTACGAAGGCCTGAAAGACGTTATTCTCATCTAATTAAACAATGATGAATATTTACGGTAAGGATTTGGGCGAAAAAATTTGAAATGTTGCCATGTGGACAAATTATTATTGCCATTTGTGTATTGTTAATTTGTTAAATTATCTTCTTTGGAGTTAGAGGTATAGAACGAGGTCGTAACTATATATTTCAGTAAAAAATTTAACTTAAGTGTAAACACTGTACCCTATTAAAACGTTAGATAAGTTAAAAATTACTATCTTGATATATGAAACAATGTAGATGGTGTTATGCTATTTATAACTTAACAATGGCTAGACTAATTTTATTATCTTTGATTCGTCGGAATTGTCTTTGCTAAAAATAACAAAATACGAGTAAGTAGAAAAATTTTGAAAAAATTCAGAAAAAAATAATTTTATCAATATTGTGTGCTGCATTTATATAAATACCATAAAATGTTAGTTACAACATTTATAACTCAAGAATGGTTGGGCAGATTTTCATGATCTATGATTTTTTGGATTTGTCTTTACCCCGAATAGCAGAATAATTAATAAAATATTAAAAATTATGATTTAAAGAGTCTTAAATGAGGGATGAAAATTGGTATGGAGAATCTATCATAGTTATAGCTAAAATATTGAATACCAGATGGCGCTAAAGTGCATTAATATAAATTAATAACATATTTACTAAAAACTACAAAGGCGAAATTGTAAAAAAATGTTAGTTTTATAATAAAACAAAATTAAATTCAATAAATGAATAGTTAATTTACTGATATCTAAATTTTGCAAAAAGGTGTAGAAGCAAATACATTTGTACTGTTTGCTTGCTCGCAGAATTGCTGTTGACTTAATCGCTTTCGACGCCAACTAACAAATAAGCTAAGTACAAAGCGCAACGCTTTAAAGTGGGTATATTAAGAACTTGTATACAAGTTAAAGCACATTCGACGAGATGTGAAAAACGTGCAAAAAAGGACCGCGCGCGCCCGGCGTACACACCAACCCACATACACATCAGTCGCCTTTGTGCGCAGGGAAGTTCTTAAATGCACCCTCAGGGACTTTTCGACAACTTTTCCACCTTTTTAAAGTCTGAATACAACAACACACACCAGCGGAGAGAAAAAAAAACAGCCCCGGATGGGGCACGCGTATGGCTCAACAACATGCAAACTTGGCGTTTCGGTTAATTAGGATTAACACTTCTTAGTTTTATTCCACGCGCGCTCATGAAAACAACCATTTTGTGGAAGAGAGGATAATTTTCTAAAATTAACACTTGATTAATCGTATTTTCCCAGTTCGTAAAATTTCAGCGAATTTTAATGTGATGCGAGTTTTGTTTATGTAATAAATTTGTGCATAAATATAAACTGATGTACTTTTCAACTGATAAATAAATATTTCTCGGAAAATTCGAGTATAAATATTTGCGTTAAATGAAATTCTCTCTTATCTGCAGTGTAATAATTTTGGGTTATCACAAAAATAATGAATAAATTAATAATTTTTATAAAAAAATTAATTTTTCTAAAGAAATTTAAAAAAAAAATCTTAAAAACACTTGTTCTTCACTTATTTATTTGGAATATTTTAATGACGAGTGAAACGCATCGACTATTTGTTAAACAAATTAGTACGCAACCTTCAGCGATAAATTTTGCCGCTGTTAATCTCTTCACAAACACGTGTTTGAAACACAATCTGCTTTCCGCAGAAAAATAAGCAGAAATTAATTTTGCAGTGTTTTGATCAAACAAAATTACCTGAAGATGAGCATTGAGGCCTTGCGGGCCCTGCAGGAGCACAACGAGAAAGAGTAAAAGTCCGGCGCACAGGAACAGTCTATGCTGGGGTTCGCCTAACCCCATCGTCAGCGCTTATTGTCACTCGTCCGCAGTATTATCGCTTCGAAATTGGAGCAAGATATCCGAAATAAACGCGAATCAACGGAAAAATAAAACAGTCGTCGTCGTCGTAAAGTCGCGCGCGCGGGTCCCGTTTGCTACGCGAAGGCGACGAGGCTCATCGCACGCGAGATGTTAAGACACTAGACCCCGCAAGTTGACTGAGCGGGGAGTTGGGTCTCCTCGGCCTGCTGCGTGTGCCCCGCGAGTATTCGTTATTTGTATTTGGTACGAAAAAGCACATGTGCGGCTGGCGGGCGTCCGTCCGCAGTGAGTCGTGCGGTCGTGTTGTTGCCGGTTGACTGTTGCGGGCCACGATGCGCGGCCCTGCTGGCTCTGCTGCCGCGCGCGAGCCTCGTACCCTCTTCTTGCGCGCACCGCACACACACACACCGCACAGGCACAATCGACGCCTCTATGGTCTCGCGGGCGCTGGTGTACTCTTGCAGTGGCTACTGCCTCTGCTGATGGCCTGCACGTTGGGTATTATTACCACACGTCTGCGACGGGTACATTTGCCAGCCGCCGGCGAGTAACCAGTTGTTGTGGCGGACGCGGCCGGTCGCTTGTTTTCGTGGAAAGCACGTGCTTATTACTTGCTCTCCGCACAACTGATACTAATATTGCCAACATTACCTATATTTATGCAAATTGTAAGATTTGCTTTAATTGAGTACAACACTTCGCGGCGAAATTACTGGGGAGGTGATAGTTTGGAGAAATGATTAAAAAAATAAAAAATATTTTTAGTTTTTTGCTTATAGCTCCTAAGAAAATCATCCGATTTAAGAAATATTTTGGGAAAATATTAGTATTATCATTATTTACCACTGTGTTAAATTTGGTTATTATTGGATTAATATTTTAAAAGATATCAAAGAGGTACAAATTTTTTTTCTAAAATATTTTCGTTGATAATATTTTTCTGGTAAATAAAAATTAAAATTTTTCTTCAAATTTATGTTCTTCACATCATAATTGATATCTATACTAAATTTTATCATTTTCTAACCATTATTATAGAAAATATGAAGAAAAATCAAATTATTTCATGAAAAAATCGCACAAAATACCCAATGAAACAAAATATTACTGAAAATCACATTTTGATTTGATTTATCTTGATAATACCAAAAATAAATTGAAAAATTTATTTATATTAATATTCTCTATATAATAATTGATACTTACTCTAAATTTTATCATTTTCTAACCATTATTATAGAAAATATAAAGAAAAATCAAATTATTTTCCGAAAAAAAGCAAAAAATATCCAAACTACTTAAAAAAATTAAAAAATCTAGAAATATCACAGCAATCAACCAAAATATTATTCAAAATCAGCTCTGATTTTATCTCTTTATTGATACCCACCTACAATTTTTATAGTCAATGGCGTGAAAGTGCAATACCTCGTATTGTTACACCGCCAATCAATGTCAATGATCTTGATGTACACGCGCACATACCTACACCTATGTACCTATGCACTTATCTGATTTCCCACCGAGAAGAAAATAGAGTTGATTAAGTTTTTGCCGTCGTCGACGCATTGCAATTGATTCATCGATGACGTCACACCGTTGGCATGCGCTCTCGGACGCATACTTTACATTAATACCCACTTCAAACGCATTAAACGAACTCATCGAGAGACTTTAACATTTATAAGTTATCAATTCCATTTTAGTTTTCTATATAATACTTAGTAGGAATAAATTTAAACAAATTAGTGATAGTTTTGTTATGCAATGGTACAAATTGCTCACGAGCTGATATCATCGTGTTCCGATGAGGTCAACGACGAGTTTAGAAAAATGTATCATAATATTATGAGTACTGCAGCGGGCAAGGCAGGAGCGCAAAAAAGGTTTTACGAAATTAACGCCGGTCGTGATTTTTTCTAGCGCTCGTGTGTTTCAGTGCAAAGCAGAGAGGGAAATTTTATGATTGAATTAAAATCCATGTGATTGACTTCATTATTACTGTTATTCCATTCGTTTGTAAGGATTTTTTCACCTTTTTGTACAAAATGCGCAAAATTAGTTAAAAAATTATTTTTCTTATATTGTTTCGATTTTAAAAATTTGTTTTAATATAAAAATGGTGTGTTTTTCCTATGTGGGTGATTTTGTGCAGTTTGGCGTTTCGGTGCCCTTCGATTTCCAGTAAATCTCATATTTGTACGCCGACTACATTATACACACACGTTTGGAAACGTGAAACGAAAACGCGCTGCCGTTCGCGTTTAATTATTCATCAAACGCGATTCGATTCGATTTATACGCGGAATCGTTGCGAGAATATTATGACTTAAATATAAATATTTGACCCCAAACACCCACAACTACTCATCGCACATCTGATAGAAGGATAGAACTTACATCGTCTTGTGCGATAGAAGCACTAGAAGCGGATTATAAGATTATAAGTTAGTTGCATAAAAACCAAATGCAATAATCGATTTTCTTTCGACCCAATATTCTCTATACATGCGTATAAATGATGCATCGTTTACTTACTTACTGATTTGTAAAAAAGATTTCAGAGAACACTTTGTATTATTAACGTTTTTTGCGCGCGCGCGCGCAAGGAAAAATTGTATTCTAGAAAAATAAATTGTGTTTACTTGACTTTACATGACAAAACTTCGATTATTATTTGATATTTTTGTAGTTTTCGATTTGTTTCGAAAGAATGGAACTTCTTCCAATCAGTTTTCCGTGTTACCACGCATGCAATCGTCAGTCGTCAACTTTGACTTTTGCTTGAACGATGCGCTGTTTCTGTTAACCTTCTCGATCCTTTTTTTCATCATTCATCATTTATTTTATGATCAATTCTTTACTAAATTGCATAATACATTGTTTTAATTATAATTAACTATCTGCAATAAAATCATTATGTCCTATTCATGTATTGCAACTCAAAAATGCGACTTGTAAGTAAAATGTTCGTTAATAAATAATTATTTATTGCATTATGCGGAATTTCATTGTTTTCAATAAAAACTTTGGATTCTTTCCAAATTGTTTCTGCGTATGCCAATCAATCAAAGTTCTGTTGACATCTTGGTGACAGTTCAATCATTTCCGGAACATGAAAACCCTACCCACGTGTTCTTATTCAGTTTTTAGCATTATAATAATAGATTTATTGTGAAACCGTGTGTGATTATAGATATTATTATACATTTACGAATTGTCAATCGATGCGATGCGCTTTATAACAAAAAACTGAATATGTGTCTAGGTTTGTTTTGCTTTGCGCAGATAATGCGATAATTAATTTGGCATATGTCCAAAACGCTCGCGCAGAAACTGAAAACTGAATTGTGTGTTAGCAAGTTGCATTTATTTTCATTCCGCCATACGCTGAAGTTTGATGAACTATAATTGGGAAACCGAAAGGCACTGCAACTTTCGGCGATATAAAATATTCAATAGTCAATTCGACAACACAATACCACGACCACCGCAAATTTGATTTGCGTGCCTTAGGTTCAGGGGAGCACGTCAACTAAATTACAAAATGCATTGAAAGTTAAAAAAATAAAAAATAAATAAACCGGAACTTCATTTCGGCAATATTATTACACATACTAAAAATAACTAAAAAGATTAATTATCGAATATATTCGCCGGTATTTGTTTACTTTTTTGTTGACACTGATTTATTTAATTAATATTTTTATATTCCTTATCAAATTGTATTTTTCTGAATCAATATAAACATAAATTAAAAAATTATGTCATCTTAATGTAAATACTTTTGACAATTATTAATATGCTTATTTTTAATTTTAAATGTTTATTAAAATTATTATCTTAATAATTAATATTTAATAATACAAGCTTTAAGTTTTCGATAGGAAAAAAGTTGAACCAACACTAATAAATTTGATTTTGTAATACAGTATGCGCCATCTCTTGACAATTATCCAAACTACAATCGAAAAGCATTCTGCGCTACTGGTAATATTCAAACAATAATTTTACGCTAGTAGGCAACACGTGTCGCTACCCTAACATATTTAAATTTTAAAACAAATTAAATCAAAGTATTGATTGCTAATATCACATTAAAAATAATAAATAATAAACACTGATTATTATTTACTTAAAAACAGTTAAATTTAAACTAAATAATACATTTACTTCCACACCACTAACTTTAATCGATTTCTGCAAGTTGTTTACGTCATTAGGACAATTAGTCATTGTTATACCAATTTCAATGCGCCTTACAAACCTGTTGTTGCTTGTTATCTAACAACAAAACCTAAACAAGCAAAAAACTTAATATAGACAACGCGTTTTTAAATCGATGAGCACCCGTTACCTAATCGCACGATGTCGGTAATGCCGCACGTTGTTGAAGTTATTGTTATTTAATAAATTGCTTGAGTCAAAGGTAACTTCAGCAGAATTTCGAAGCCGTGCGGGCACAGCGTGTGGCAATCGTAAGGATACACCGCACATTCGATGCGTACACGTGATTAGGATCACTCACGTGGAGCGTCCTCGTGTGCGAGACGCGCACAATACGCCGCGGCTGGCGTGTTCATGATGTTGAACAATTACTTTATTAGATCGAAAGACGCACTTTGCGTGTTTTGAATATATGCATCTGCTCGCGCTGGCAGGGCAGATCGATCAAGTATAATTTAAACTTTTCGATATTACAGAATATAATTGATGTATCTATTAATATATTACTGCGTTGTTAGAAAAACTGCATTTCCTTATTTTTATTGAATTAAAAAAATAAAAAGGATTGCAAATGAAAAGATAAATAATAGATGGATGCGCACTTTATATAAGTGGGAAAAACGTGTTGTTGTCCATGCAGGTGGCTTCCAGGGTGAGTATTGATTTGAGAAAGCTTTCATTTGTTTGTTGCTTTCTTCTGCAAGATGCAAACAGGATATCCTGTTTTAGAATAGAAACGTCCAATTTCTGAGGCATTTTCAATAAATGTCCCTATTTTTATTATTTATTTCCGTGCGTACGTGTTGAACATTCACTTTAAATATAGTTGTATTCTATTTATAAATAATAAAAGAAAAACTGGACGTTTCTAGCGATTTTTTTTCGTTTTCTGACGACAACTTCATAAATCAACCCTTGATTTTATTTTAAGCTCAAACTTTTATAATCTTATCCTCAAGATTGACCTTCGTGCATAAACCGATGAAATATATATTATATTTCCGGAATTATTCATGAAAAATAAACATACTAAAGAAATGTTATTTTTGGATTATATTATGTTGATAATTCCTAAATTTTTCATTCGAATCGAATAATAACTTAATTATACAATTTTGTTCCCTAGTGTGATCTTTGTGCAAAATTTCATCAAATATACTTTAATACTTTTGGAGATATTCACGAAAAATGAATATTTCGATAAAAAATGTCACAATTTTTGATTATTTTTGTCAATAATTCTCACATTTATCAACCGATTTATAAAATAAAGTGAATATATAATTTTAACCTCCAGTATAACTCTTGTGCAAAATTTTATCATATATACTTTATTACTTTTGAAGATATTCATAAAAAATAAATATTTCGACAAAAAATATTAACTTTTTTAATTTATTTTCACAACATTTTCAACCAATTCCTAAAATAACATGAATATATAATTTTGTACAAAATTTGATAAAATATACTCTAATAATTCAGAAGATAATCAAGAAAAACTTAATTATTCCGGAAATTAATTATTTTATTTTATTAATCATAACTTCACCTGAGCGCTTTAATTAATATTACATAACCTTAGCATTAAGACCAGACTCTGTGCAAATAGTTCAAAACATTAGTAGATATTCATGAAAATTATCACACTGCTCAAATTATATTCGCAACGTAATTAATAATATTTACTTCTAAATTTATTGCCTTTTCAAATTCTTTGAAACTTTTCCACCTTTGTTTAAATCCTTTGAGATAACGACAATATTCTAATAATATCATTGGCTCAATATGTATGCACAGCATTTTCAATATTTACCTAGCTTGTTGATTCTTTTAAATAGTGTACGCAGGTAGTATTTGCTTTTCCTTGCGCGTTTCGAGATATTTTCCGCGCAGCAGTTTCGCACGATCTGCGTCGCATTCAACCAGTTGTATTAATTAAGCGGCTTTGTTTATTATTTTACGCTATTTTGTGCGCGATCATTTTTTCCTCTTCTTCTGCCCTGCCTTGCAAAATACGTGCGTGAATTTGTCTAAACACAGCATGGGAATAAACTGAATATAAAGTGCGGAAAATATGCGGCAGTGAAGTTGTTCGTGATTCAAGTTGAATCAAAGCGTTGACGGATGAGAAATTACAAGTTTACACAAAGGTACGATAAAAGTGTTTCATAATATTTTAGAATACATCCAAGGTTTTCCATTTTGACTGCCATGCATCAAGCGTTTAATTTAAATTTTACAAAATTTTAATTATCTATTTAATATATATTCTATGTGGTATAGAAAAAGACTTTTCATGCTGGTAGCCTCCTGAATCTCATTTTATCGAAGCTGGTCTAATTTGTGGAAATAATTCAAGCTTGAATTTTACTTTCAAAGTGCTCTTATTCGTGATTCTCAATTCACTGACCCGCGCATTTCTCGCGAAAAACCTCCAAGTGAACAACTTACTATTTTTCTTTTCACAGCACGCAGAAAATAGAATCCTACCTGAAGAATGCTAGGATTTTATTTTATTTATTTTATTGTTAGTTCTTATTGAAAGGATGAGAGCGTATCATGGCTTTACTCTTGGTTTCACCTAAACAAATATTATTATTGTGATAAATATATAAAATATAATATTTAAAAAATCAGTTTTTCTCTATTTTAGCATAGAAATATATATTAATCAGATAAGTTAAATTCGACGAATGTACGAATACAACTTATTGAAGAAAAGTAATTACTTGCTTCTTGCCAATTGAATTCACTTTAATCAAAAACATGGTTTATGTGCAAATCACGTGCAGCTTATTGATCTGATGCAATCAGATTTGATTATTGTTCTTGATCAAAGTAAATAATGTCAAGAAAAAGGAAAATTTACAAATCTATCAAGTTCATTACCTTTAACTCAAATAAAACTGACTGTAACTTGTGGCGAAAAGCGTAAATTTCATTAACGCTGCAATTTGGAATAAAGACATTTTTTCTTTTCCAATCTGCAGCGAAATAAAGCAACTTACAACTAACGGAAGCGTATGCCGAGGAGTGGAGTTTGTTAACAACTAAAACTTCGGCAATATGAGCCGACATTCGCGGGTTGTGTTTGATCACGGTTTATTGAGTTTTGCAGATACAGGAATATCGAATTGCAAGGTTATGCGTATGCACGGTCAGATCACATTAAAGAAATGTATTGCATAATCAGTAGTTTACGAAGATGATTAAATAAACAGATATTATTTAAGATCATTAGTAATCATTATTTGCTAATATGAGGTATATTTACTGAGAAATGTATTAATTTAGTTGTGAGATTATCAGTAAATTCAACGTGTGGGTTACGATGCTTAAAACTTTGCTTATAATACGGGAAATTATTAATTAAAGGGTCAAAATGCATGCGAACTTAAAATTTTGGGATATTAATCTCTGTAATATGAGATAAGCTCAAATTAATAACGTTTTAGGTTAGAATTTGTAATTTTAAATAGAAATTTGTTAAAAAATCTAAAGAATTCTCTTCTTTTCGCTTAAATATTAACTTCAAAAAGTTTTAAAATTGCATTTTATTTCCCAGAAATATTTTCTAAATATATTTAAACGAAATTTGCAAAAAAATCTCAAGTAGTTTTAACTAAACTAAATAAAAGTTAGGGTAAACAGATATCAATCAAATTCAGTCATATGCTGATTGTGATAAAACAAGATGACAAATAAAACGGCGCACGCGAAGTAGATCGGAACTAGTCGGAACTACGTGAACAACGGATGCAGCCGGCGACGCCGCCGCCGACGCTCCGATAAAAACAAGCACGCCACATCTAAAGGCGGCTCAGTTCCGACGCTCCTATCGACGAGCGTCGTCCGTGTCGAAGTTTCGTCCTGCGAGTTTCTCGCAACGTCAAGTTCGCGTATTCTTGTGATTCAACAACCAAACACAAAAAATCAAACAAAATCAAAATTCCTATAACTTTTAATTAAACGCATTTAATTTGTGCGCTCGCATCAATACAAATTATAATTATTAACGTGTAAGAAACTTTTTCATCATTTTATCACCAAAAACTTAAATAAATTGTAAGTATTTTTTATTTTATTACGAAAAAAGGTTTTACTTTCCATTACCAAAAACCATTATTTTGCGCACGTAGATTATCCCGTTAACATGTGTAGCATTCATGCTTTACAAGTATGATCAACATAAAAAAAGCACTCACACATCGCCGCTGGGTACATGCACATGAGTGGAGCCACAAAATGTTTGCATTGTTTATTTGCTCTAAATTTGAACGTTGATTACGCTATTATATATTACTATTTCGAACGTGAAACGAAATCGCGTCGGGCCAAAACCACACGCCGCACATAAAAGTGTTATAAACTTCTAAAGTCTTAAAATCCGAATGGATAAACATTTGCAGACGAAATAAACAGTTTTTCCGCGTTTATTTTGTTATTTTCGTGGGTTTAAGCGTTCCGCACATATTCCGACAAGAAAAGCTGGGCGGCAAACCGACAGACAAGGTTATACTCAAGAACGGCTTTACTAGCGCTTCACTCCGGCCATTTTTATGAATATTGCGAAAGATTTTTTTTACGATTATTGAATGCTAGGGTTATTTTATTTCTACACTAATTGGCGTTTAATGATGGTTCTGATCGAACGTAATTGAAGAAAATGTAATCGAAAAGCTTTCAATTTTATTCCCATTCTGGTTATATTAGCCGCTTCTTTCCTCCGGAAATTTTCTTAAGATTTTCATTAAAATTCATCTAACCAGTATTATATTAACTACTACTTTCAGAACGTTTTGCTGGGAATATAATCACAGCTCACTTTTTGTAAAAAGAGAAACCATTAAAAGCATATTTTTAAGTCTCTTGATATCAGCACTTTTATATTTAATATCTGCTGAACTTGAACGTTGGATAATAAAAGTCCTATAAAATGTGTCAACGTAGGAGGAATTAATTGTAGCGTTAATTTTCGTTATTAGGGCTATAAACGAATTAGTACCCAGAAACATAAAAACTCACTTTTTCTGATTTTTTGGAGCGAAAAAATACCAGAAACATAAAATAATAATATTAAGTGTAAAAAATTAAACTTTTAATAATTAATTATTAATATTTAACCAATTTTTTTCTATGATACAAGATAAACGTTCATTTCATCATGATAAAACAATAATATAGGTTCGGTTTGAGTGAGCTGACGTAATTGATTTCGAGGTTAGTTCATTATCACATATGGCTTATATTTACCGAATATAAATCATAAAATAACACAATTTTATTATTCTTTGCATAATTTTGTGTTTATTGTTATCATTAACAATGGCAAAATTCTAGTTTTTAATCTTTGTGAACCAAAATACAAAAAACACTGCATTTATTTCAAAAATTTATTATGACGCTTGTAGCTGCTCTCTTCACATTTTAATAAAGTGCATAACTTGCTCTAATTAATGCCTGCTAATTACCAACACAGATTTGCATTTATTTTCATTTTATATTCAGCAATTTTTAATATTTTATAATTTATCCCAAAGCAAATACTAATCAAATATATTTATTAACAGATTACTTCCTGAACGTGTTTAATATACTTTATATTTAATAGGATTTATTTCGCTAATCCGAATCTGCCCCGAATAGCGTAAAGTGCGCGATGTGCCGTGCGTGCGTATCATAATATTTACTTAGTGACGCTCAATAATTACGCTCGCGGCATATGCGCTCATCTGCGATCATATTGGCTTTGCACATTAAATCCGCGAAATATTTCGGTAGCGCGCCTGATTAGCCATTGTGTGGTTACATCAGAACAATTAATCCATTAAGTGTTTAGTAAGTGCATGAACAATCTGATTACTATCCGCGGATTTTTTCAAATGTTGGAATTTTGCAATGGAATATAAGCGATTCGACGTAACCTAGATTATAATTCGTCTGCTAATGCATTTTGACAGTTTTATGGCTGTGTTGATTGTGATTTGAAGTCAATAATATTGAAAACATGTGATTTACTAAAGTATAGGAGAATGCAAGTTTCAATAGTGATTACGATGAGCGGATTAGATTAGTTAGCTACCGACGATTAAGTGGATTTAACTTCGACCTTTATGTATCTGATTAACGAATATTTGAAAGATTTTTTTTTTATATAGAACCTGGTAACCTGGTATAAAACTTTTTAAAAATGTATTGTTTATATAAAAATGTTATGTTTTGCTAATGAAAAATCATCAGTTGAAGTTTTTATTGATGAAATTCTTGGAAACATAATATTTGCTTTAATTTTCCATTTTTACGTCCGCAAAACTCACATTTCAGCTTTTTTTCAAGTTTTTGACAAATAGCATTTTTATCATATATAAAAAAGACGTGTTAGTTACATCCTGTATAACACAAAAACGCCTGGACTCATTTTAATGATCTATGATTTGTTAGATTTATCTCCGCCTCGAATAGCAGAATAAATATGAAAATATCAAAAATTGTGACTTTAAAGGGAATAAATAAACGATGAAAATTGGTATAGACATTCAATCATAGTTATACCTAAATAATTTGATCAGATATGGTGCTAAAGTGCATTATTATCAATTTTTATTTTTTTAAATAAAACTACGATTTATATTCAAGAAAATAAAAATTAATCACATTTCTACTGAAAATTATGAAGACGAAATCGCGGGCTCAAGCGAGTTTATCATATAAAACGCTGTAGTTCCGATAATTTAAAAACTTTGTCGCGAAAAACAAACATTATACAACTATAACCCTAGCCGATGTTCAGTTTGGTTGAAACCGCTTTGAATTGTTGTCATGGTAACACTACCCTTAAAACCTCACTCTAACTAACTTAAATGCAATTCACAGTTGTTATGTTATTTGCAACATACAAGAACTATTATTTCCATGTTAAAAACATGTTGTCCCAAATTTCGCAAATCAGCAATAAATAGTTTTTTTACAAACCCGCCCGAAAATCTGAACGATATATTTTAAGTACACAAGCAAAAAAAAGTCAAGAGATACTTAAGAGTTGCCAGGTTGTCAAGAAAAAACCCCGCAGGCAGTTTGAAATAGTCGGTGAATTACCAAGTTGCTGGAAGGTTCTTTTTATACTAAACCTCAATTATACGCGAGAGGTGTAAGGTTGTGCACTAAGGGGGAAAGTGACTCAATAGGTCCTCAGCATTTCCGACGTAGGACGATAGCGTGACGAGAAGAACGTCATTATAATTCAACAGGAAGACGCCCATTCGACGCGCGACTTCTATACACTTCCATAACTACCAAAATTTAAATCTACACCTGAATATCATAAACTATTCTAAAATTATCTCGGTTTTGATTTATTTCAGGTTCGGCCCGGATCAAATTCAAGTTCAAGATGAATAACCAAACGTGCATAGCGAAATTCAAAAATCAAACGGAAGAATTTCGATCTAGTGGTGAGTATCAAATGCAATTGGATATTTTCACAGCATATTATCACTCTCAATGCATGAAATGTAAAATTAAAACCGAAATTACTATTTATTTGAAACCGGCATAAAATTTCATTCTTTTTTTGGCTAAAAATTGAACTTTTTATGCTTTATTTGATATTTATTATGTGAAAATCATTAAATTATCAACGCTTCATTTCTTTAAATACTAACCTGCTTGTCAAATTTGGTCATTCAATGGAGCGTAATGAACATGTCAAGCAATAAATAAAATTTGATACTGAAAATACGCAAATTGCGCATTTTCAGTTTTCACTCAGTTAAACTACGTGAAAATGGCTTGGAATTATTTATTCATTATTCATGTTGTAAGTTGCGAGATTGTAACGTGAATAATTATAATATCACGTAATATCACCCATATAAAACTCATGTACGGATTTACAATTAATTTAATCCTAATATACACTCCGTATGCGTGTAAGTATATTTTCACATTCGTGTGCAGCACTAGATAAAATAATACACACGCGTCTGAAATAAAATTAACAGCTTTATTTTGACGGATTGCACTTCGGATGCTCTCCCGAGAAGCAATTAGTTTCGTGCAGTTCCATAAATACGCGTTTTACTTGTTTTTCGAACTGCATTTCAAAGTAAAAACTAAAAATATGGTATTACTTCATGCGGGTGCAAACACTTTTAATACCTACGTATTAAATTTTATTTAAATTAACCTTTCAGCTGTATTATATTGCCCGACGGTTTTTGACACATTTTTATGCTGGGGACCAACGTTAGCAAACACAAGCATAAGTCAAAATTGTCCTGTGCAGAGAGGGGTAGATCCTACAAGTAAGCTAACGTAATTAATTTTAATTAAATATTTATCGAAATAAAATTACATAGAATTTGCGTGGAGAACGTGCACAGCTGAAGGCAAATGGTCCAACAACGGCAAAGAAGAGCTTATTGATCAGGGATACACAAATTACACAACGTGTATCACGAATTTAGCTCACGGTGTACACGATATGTGTCAACGTCTGGGAGAAGGCGCATGTGATACTGTGAGTGAAAATTAATTCTCCGAAAGAAAAATTACAAATATTTCATTGTAGATTGTATATGCAACTCGTAAAATTGAAATGGTGGGTCTAAGCTTATCACTAATAGCACTAATTGCATCTTTAGTCATTTTCTACAGATACAGGCAAGCTACTTTTACTTCACCCACCTGTTGATGTATATTCACAAAAATTTGATGAAAACTTTTCAAACTTTCAGAGTGCTTCGAAACAATCGAACAACAATCCACAAAAACCTGTTCATAGCAACACTGAATCAAGTGATTATACGATTAATTATATACAGTGATCAAAAGTATAAACTAATTGAAAATAAGGTGAGTCACGTTCCATCCCCACAAATAAATTTTCGCGATTAATCTTTTAATGTGGTTCATTACCACGATCAATAATATCTTGCACAACGCAACGTGTTGATGCATTTATGTTTATGCTTACCATACTAGTACATAGGTACTAGTAAAACATTAAAAATTTCATGCGTGATTTATGCAGTGTTGAGTTACAAATGTTTACTGCTGTTTATGAAAAAAGAACTCAAAATAGCTTCTGTTGGAAAAAAATCACAACATGATTCGAAAAAAACTAAACTGTTAATCAAATGTTTGTTTGATTTCTAAACGCAGCCGTATCTCTGTGAAATGTGCTACATACTGCTGGAATTTTCGAAAACAGCGACAATAATGTGGATGTTCATCGAAGGATTGTCGCTACACAACGCTATGACAGTGGCGGTGTTTCAAGAGTATTCATTCATCAAGATTTACTGTTATGCTGGCTGGTTGGCGTCCATCTTGCTCACGTCGATATGGGCCATGTCGATGGTTTATACAGAAACTGGAATGTGAGTATTAAAATACGAATCGATGGCATTTTTACAATTTTGTTGTTTGTATAGTCGGCGTTTTTGTTTACATGCACCACGCTTGTTATATTAAGCATAGTTATGCTGTGATTGAACGATGATTGCATTTTTCTCTGATGTCATCGGGTCAAACTAGTTGAACAAATTTGTTCTTTTTTTAGTGGATATGAATTAGAATATCTACTAAAAATAGAGTGCGCGAATTTGACAGTGTACGTTTTTTAATATCACACGTCGGTGTGATATGAGTAAAACAAACACGAATCAATGATATACGATGGTAATAAGATTTTATTGCCGACGTATTATGATTTACGACTGCTAACATCCGCCTCTAATACATATTTTATGTATTAGTTATATTGTAATCACACCACGCAGTACAAATAGGCCATATTGTGGCCTAAATGTAATTTTAAGATATTTTTGCTAAAACGCAAAAATTTAAGCATGATTAGAGAGATGATTAAAGAATAACGTGTAAAAGAAGAAAATGATGATGTTTAACAATCTAGAAGATTGAAAATTGCTGGGTTGTTGCTTGTATGCTGCAGGGATGCTAATATTCATACAATGTTGGTGTGTAAATGTAGATGATCAAATTCTCCGCCATTTTCTTGAAATTGTTGGTTTTCAGTTGTTTCAATAACTAAACTTAATATCAGGTCCAATGTGATCAGCAACCTCCTATGTGCGCTGAAACAAAATGGTTGTAGTTGTTGTACACACTATCAACTCGTTTTCCTACTCACCATTTGCTTATTGCACTTTTACACATGCACCGCATCGCGCCGATTTTTACTTATAACCTACCTTTGCTTGCACACTACATACACGAGCAATAAATACCAAAAATATAAATATAATGCATGCAATCCACAAACCTTTGTTGCACCCTCGTCAACGGCTATGTGGCGGTTAAAAAGCAGCAAATCAGCAATAAATAACAGCAATTTTACACTAAATAACTAAGATAATTTCAGGAACGCACTTGCCTTGCACACTACCCAAGCCAAAAAGAACGAGGCTAACGCTCAGCGTCCCCTTGCGAAGCGCGCGCATCAACCGCCGCGCACTCTCAGTTAGGGTGAATTAAATTCGCCACTTCCGGTTGTAATTTTAATTAGAAAACTTTAAAAATGTGCAAATTAAGTAAAAATAGTACGTTATTAATGATTATATCGTGCTGTGTCGTGTAACGAAACAAATATAATGCAAATTTACAATTTTAATTTAATTCATATTCGCTTACTGTAGCCATTTAATATAGGCAACCAAATATACAGTATTAAACATGCATAATATTTTATACCAAAATTCGCCGCATTTATAAGATTTTAGCTTACCAGGAATAATTAACTTAATCGCATTTCTTTACTATAATACAATACAGTAAATACTTTGACAGTACGCGTACCTAATGAGATTTTCAATTTAATCCTGGCTTTGCTTTCCATTAAATCTTATATCGTGCATTGTCAGTTCCCGGATTATTCGAACGAATTAATTTTTAATTCCAATCTTAATTGTGCGGCTCATCTTTGCGACCTAATCTTCTTCTCGAGTAATCAAAGCGCACAAACGCGACAAAGAAATTGCTTTGATGCTCTAGCAAAGCCTTCAAACACATACTTTGCGTTGTGTAAATATTTTTCACGTTTGTTATTCACACGAAATTTCTGTTTAGATGTTGGTACATGTACAACTTCCAGAGCAACTATTGGATTCTCGAAGGACCAACGAGCGCTTTGATTGTGGTAATTAATCGCCGAAATTTGTTTACCAAACATTGTTATTGTCCTCTAATTATTGGATGAAATTTTTCGTGTGTGCAGATCAACATGTTGTTCCTCCTCAACATAATACGCATTGTTGTGATGAAGTTGCGCAACAGTAACATGGGCGAATTCGAGCAAATGAGGTAAATAAAATGGCTGACACATACCTGTTTACATACATGTTTGCGGAACTTAAACATCATAAAATTTAGCTCAAATGTTTATTTTTCTCGCACTTCTGCGTTGCTCAGTGGCGGATTACGGCCTAGGCGCACTAGGCGCGCGCCTAGGGCCCCGGCTGCCTGGGGGGCCCCGGCTGCCTGGGGGGCCCCGGCTGCCTGAGGGGCAGACATAGTAATTCCACAAATACTTCATCAGTTGGTTTTGACCTCAGCCTTTATGAATAACGTATTGGTTTTCACTTGGCGCCCAAAACGGCATTTCACACGTGTCCGCAAAGCAACCGTCACGGATATATAGCTGACTTAAAACTTTTTATCTCCGATTTTATTTCTTTATGACAAACTGTTTAAAATAAAATTTGGATGTTTTCTGCCACGAATTTTTGTGACCTTTTCTTGAATATTGCATTAGAAAGTTGTAGCTATAATGCGAGTAGTATATTGCCAATTTTTTTTAAATTTCGAACATCTGTGGAGGAGATGAGTTGAGCGGGTAACTCTCTTTTTTGGATTATTAATTATTTCGTCTTTCTATAATTTTTTCACATCTGCGGAACACGTTGTACCAACGTTTTTCCTCCTACAATTTTTATCTAGATTTTTGGGGTGGTAGTTGGATTAAAAAATAACAGAGTTCAAAAGAGTTCGATCAATTTGAGACGGCACTGTTAACAATTTTCGGGAACAAACTCCTACAGAGAATCGAAATTACCAGCAAATACTTACAGGAACCAAAGACAAATATTCTTAATAGTGTTAGTTTATTAAAATCATTAATCGAATTTATAACAGTGGTCAGAAATAATTTCGAAACTGTTGAAGAGGAGGCTAAATCCCTAACAGCTCATCATTCTTATAAAGAGATGAGACAAAGAAAACGCAAATATCCATATGATGAAACGAACAAAAATGATACAGCATTTTTGTCAAGAAATTTTTTTATTGTCAACATTTTTTATATTGTATGTGATGTATTAACATCAGAAATTACTCGAAGGAGTGATGTCTATATCAATGTTCTTAACGATTTTAAAATTTTCTTTGATTTAAAATTAAGCCGTGTTGAGACTAATAATTGTGTAGAGCGATTATTGTCTAAGTATGAAAAAGATATTGAGCCAGAATATTTCACTGATGAGTTAACTCATTTTCTAAAATACATACAAGAAGAAAATATTAGAGATCCACATGAAATGTATGCAACATTAAGTAATGGTCTAAAATCAACTTTTCCAAATATACACACAATACTGCAAATTTTTTTGACCTTGCCCGTTTCTAATGCAAGTGGAGAAAGGACATTTTCAGTTTTAAAACGAGTCAAAAACTATCTGCGCAATAGTCTTTCACAAGAGCACTTAAATGACTTGGCATTAATGTTCATAGAAAATGATATTTTTAAAAAACTAGAGTACGACAAAATTATTGAAATCTTTGCCCAAGAGAAGGCAAGAAAAGTAAATTTGTAATTTGTATTTAAATACGATTACCGTTTTTGAGCACACGTACGATGAACTCGAGAACCAAGATAGCATTGAAAACGATAATCCCATCGCGGATAGTATGGCAGAAAATTTTACCTGTGATATTTCGATCGGTTCTGAAAACAATTAACGCACAACACCTGGTCCATCGCGAAGAGCGAATCGGAAGATAATCCATTAAATTTTGGAATAGTGCGTGTGGATTAGGCCTGCTGGGGATACCACGATAAAAAAAAACGCGCCACGTACTCTACCTCATGGTGGTGAGGAAATGAGTTTTTGGCACAAACGAATGTTGAAGTAGACTTTGCGGCGCCCGTACGCTAAAACTATTAATTTTACTGGGCTAATAACCGTTTTTGAAAATTTTCGGATTTAGGGGCCCCAAACTTGATTTGCGCCTAGGGCCCCACTGAAGCATAATCCGCCACTGGCGTTGCTAAAACACGGAAATAAATTGCAATTGTTATTTTCATTGTAATAGAAAAGCAGTGAGAGCAGCCATTCTATTGGTGCCGTTAATGGGCACCCTTAACGTGCTCTTCATGATCGACTACAGGATATTCACCTCGGCGTGGATGTTCGGTCTCTGGGCATTTAGCACGTACTTCTTCACCTCGTTTCAAGGATTCTTCATCGCGAATCTGTACTGTTTCATGAACGGCGAGGTAAAAATTATATAAAAACTGTGTCTGCACATGAATTACACGTAAACAAATCACTTGCTTGTCATTTGCAGGTGCGGGACGTCGTAAAAAATAATTTCTCGCTGTACATGTCGTTGCGCACCGGCGGCGTGGGCGGCGCGCATCTTCATCAGCGTAACTCAAGCGAAGTGACGCGTCTGTCCTCGCTCGATCCGGAAGTATGACAAAGGTTTTTATTACCCTTCGCTATATTTACATAAACTCACTGTGTATCTACTTCGTTCAACGCTTCGATCTCAATCGGACGTTTCGTGTATTTCTTTCTCTCTATGTGTAGTTTAGTGTAGTATAGATCAGTTGTATAGCTATTGATAGACTTCAGTGTGATGATTTTTTTCTTTTCTTGTGCGTTTTGCTTCATGTATATAACGCGAATCTTCTTTTCACCACGATTGTGTTAATTCCACATGCCTGCGTGCCCTTCGTTGTACTTGAATCAATGCACAGCGCCAAAAAATGCGAATGGTTTAAGGTCTGCTGTTGTCGAGATAATGAATCCAACGACATCCAGAAATTCAACGAGTGAGTATCAGAATATTTAATTATACTAATTTCACTATCATTTTAATTAACAACCTTTGCATTCCACGATAAAAGTTAAATTTTGCACTCTGCTCTTTCTGATTTTATTTTCATTTCCAAAACTTACAACAGATATATAAAAAGACTTGAACAAATTAATAAATGTATCAGGGACGAAAATAAACAAAAATTACCTTATTTTCGGTGTTTTTATTTTTCAAGTGAAATATTTTGTGAAAAACTACAAAAATCAATGTTTTTAATGATAATTTTTTATTTAAACCTATTTTTTTAATGAAAATCATTTATAAATCAATCTAAAATCGCATTTATTTTTTAAAGAAATTAATTGGTTATAAAAAATAAACAAAATCCGAGAAAAACTTTTGTAACAGATAAGTATGTAAGAAAATGTGAAACAAATCAGAGATGAATAAATGAAATGTTTTCCAATTTAGGGTGGAATGTTTCATATATACAAATACATACGCATAAAACAAATTGCTGGTGATACGCTATTTATAACTCAAGAACGGCTCGATCGATTTTTATGACCGTTGATCTGTTTGTTTTGTCTGTGGCCGAACGATTAAAACATCAAAAAATTCATCAAAACACGTTGAAAACCAAACAAATCTCTATAAAATTCCAATCAATTCAAAACACAAATTATTCAAGTGAGCATGTAAAATTTGTCATCACAATATTTAGATGTAAATAAATTTAGAACTCTATGTCACGTGCACAATCCATCAATATATCAATGTCACAACCTGTTGATGTGGATGTAGGTAAATTACATTTCTAATTGGCTAATTTTCAGAACACGTGTCTGACAAACAATTTGCATTGAACTAATTGACACGACCAAATTACCGGCGCAATCGTTGGCGTGCACGGCGTCTACGAGTTCATCCAGAACCCTCAGGTCGCACCAGCATCCGCAACTACAACGACACAGACAGCTGCAAAACGGATGAATGCCGACAATGCAAAACTTAATTTAATTTTTACAAAGAATATACGGGTAAACTAATATTAGAATTCACATGAAATCGTACAAAGTACAAACAACTATAGGCAACATATTACAGTATACCTATATACTAGTTACGTTTGTGTAAAGTAGCGCTTGGAACTGTTCCTTTTATTGCGTAGCTTTAATTTGAATATGTAAGATACTATCAAAAAATGTCAGTATTATATACAATATTAAATTATAAACTATGCAAATATTAGTGATTACATTATTTTCTAGTCAAAGAGTCATTTGATGTTAAAATAACAAACATATTTCAAAGTGATATTTTGTATTAAATATTAAATAATATTTTGTTTTTTGCCAACGACAGATTATAAACTGAATAAAAACACAACAAATATTTTGTTTATGTTTATGTAATTAAACTCACGCACATCAATAAATGTATCCATTTATATAATTAATATGATGACTTTTAATTTTAATTCATGTCAAATACAGTTATCTCGCGGGATAATGTACGTAGGCAACACACATCACGCGATTGAGGTTAGAGTTTACAAAACTTAGTAATCGGGTTCATTTTTTGATTAAAATTATGCGTAACATGTTGTTTGTTAAGTATTTGCTCTTTAGACGTTTACAACACGCATCACCTGACCTTAGGTCAGCACTTTTTATATCTAAATTTAGATTATATTATATTCAACAAAAATATATTATGTTTATTTATAGTGGTGAATATCTCAATAAATAATTATGTTTTTGAATTTGTATTCTGTCTAGACTTACTTTCTTCTAGATATATTTCTCAATTGAAACAATAAACACAAAAGAATTATTTTTGCATCAATTTGTCGATGCATTCAAGAGTTTTAAATTAGTTTCAATTTGTTTGTCACCTTAACAACGCCATAAAAATGCTTTGGACATTATTCGTGTTAATTTTAACTGTGTTATTAGTTTTATACAAATATTTAACCCGAAATTTCAAGTACTGGCAAAAGAAAGGTGTCCATTTTGTAAAACCAACATTCCTGGTCGGTAATATAGGCAGCTTATTAACCTTCAAAAAATCTATTGGTACATTCCTTGGTGATTTGTACCTCAACACTGACGCTGACATTATTGGGATATGGATCTTCAACACACCGCATTTGGTGCTCAAAAACGTCGACATTATCAAATCAGTCTTGGTGAAAGATTTCAATCATTTCGCGTTTCACGGCGTGTGCAACGATGAGAAAGCAGATCCGGTATTTTCCCGCATGCTTTTCGCCTCGGAGCCGACATATTGGAAAGCCATGCGTGTTCATTTAACACCGTTGTTTTCCAGTGGGAAACTAAAAAACATGATACCGTTAATTAACACTGTGGGTGATGATATGGAAAGGTATTTATTAAGCAAGTGTGAATTGCATTCGGGAAAAATGCGTGCAACGTTAGAACTTAATGAAGTATGCGCGAAATTTACAACGGATGTTATCACATCGTGTGCGTTTGGTATGAATGCGAAAAGTTTCGAGCATGAAGACGCAGAGTTTAGGAAAGTTGGACGGAAAATGTTCGACTTTACCATTGGGAATGCTCTGCGGGGTATAAGCTACTTTTTTATTCCATGTTTGCCAAGAATATTAAAGTTTACCTTTTTTCAACCGGATGTTAATGAATTTTGCCGCGAGGCGTTCTGGTACGTTGTTAATGAACGAGAAAAAAGTGGTTTGACACGAAATGATTTGATTGATACATTGATTAAGATGAAAAACGGTGAATCTTTAAATGAATTTAAATTTGTTGAGATAAATTACAAATTCTAACCTAAAATATATTTAATTATAGATATTATTTTTTCTCACAGAGGGCGACACTGTAGTAGCGCAAGCTATGCAATTCTTTGCAGCTGGTTTTGAGACAACCAGTAGTACAATAACATTTGCTTTATACGAACTAGCAATAAATCCACAACTACAAACAGAAGTACGAAAAGAAATAAATCAAGTTTTCTTAGAAAATCCTGCAATAACGTATGAAAGTCTTATGGAAACACCACTACTTGATAAAGTTATTAAAGAAACACTACGTAAATATCCAGCGTTGCCATTTCTGAATAGAGAATGCATCAAAGATTATAAAATACCAAACACTGATGTGATTATTGAGAAAGGCACGCCGATACAGATTCCGATGTTTGGCATCCACTATGATCCGAACTATTTCCCAAATCCGCATATTTTTGACCCTGAAAGATTTTCCGAGGAGAACAGCAAGGAAATTCCGCAGTGTGCGTACATTCCATTTGGGGACGGCCCTCACAACTGTATCGGTATTAATTTAAACTGTATTCTTTAAAATTTTAATCAATTTTACTTTTTATTTGTGTTTTAGGAGCAAGATTAGGTTTAATTATGACCAAAGTCGGCTTGCTTTATGTTTTGCGGCGCTTTGAAGTGAAAGCGAATCAAAACACACCAGTGCCATTAAACTTTGATCCAAAAAGTTTTGTTTTGCAAGTTAAAGGAGGAATATCGATCGATTTATTACTCGATTAACTAAACACACTCTATTAAATACTAGAAAGGTCATTCTCTTGGTCAAAATAGATTTATATTCAATTTCTTTGAATTGTTGTATAAAATTAATTTTATCTTTTTGTTTATGCAAAAACAAGTCGTAATTTTTTTCAATTGCATTTTGTTTACGTTAATCAAACATCGCAAACGGCAAATAATTGCAAATTAATAAACACTTCAATAATACATAGACCAACCGGTTTTTTGCCACTCAAATTGTCAATCAAATTCTGCGCTAAAACTCAATTCAACACGACAATAATACCATTAGCTGATATGACCTCTACCTTGAATGAATCAAAGTCAAACATGTGCGTGCTTCAATGAAAAAATTATCTTAAAAAATATGACATAAATTACAATAATTTGCAATAACAAATTAACATCTGTCATGATTGCCGTTTTAATTAAATTTATTATCAAAACATTATCCTTTCCAATACACTCCTTCCTCATGTTTTGATATTACAAAGCAGTTTTGTTATCTAATACGTCGACATAAGATTTTTTCAAACCCTTCTTAACCTCCTCCCACCCACTCTTACCCAACTACACACTTATGTAAGTTATTTAACGAGCGGAATCTGCAACTTTGGCGGCAATTGCGCAAAATATCACTGAATTATCAGACACGAGCTTGCTGACGAAAATATGTATTCGTGATAAACAATTAGTGCGTTATTACATGTTTTAAGACACGCGGTATGCTTAATTGAACGTTTGTAAATTCGCAAATTTGTTTTTGTTGCCATTGTATTTATTGTTACATGGAATTTTGCAAAAATTGCAAAGTAATGTAATTATTTATCGCAGACTTACATAAACAAACAGTTTTTGTGATTTTTTATCCTGCAGTTTATAAATTGAAGTGAGAGTTGACTTTTGAATCAGAAGAAAGTTGAACTTCAGTGATAACGTAAGAAAAAACATTTTTTTAAATAAAATTTATTCTGTAGAGTTTAATTCAACTTTTAAAAACTTTCAGATGGTTCTTTTAACGTCCAGTATCCTTTTGGATACTTTTTTGTTAATAACAAGTGTAATTTTTATTGTTTACAAATATTTCACGTGGGATTTTGATTATTGGAGTAAACGAAATGTGAAATTTATTAAACCAACGCCATTTATTGGAAATTTCGGTGATGTGCTTGCAACGAAAAAATCCATCGGTGGATTCCTTTCGGATTTCTATTTTAAAATGCCTGGATTAGATTATTTCGGAATTTGGGTCTTCGGCACGCCGCATTTGGTCGTGAGAAGTCCTGAATTAATCAAACACATTCTCGTCAAAGATTTCAATAGTTTCAGCGATCGTACAATCGCCAGCGATAAAAATGCGGATCCTATAATGGCGCATGTTATTTTCATCATGAAAAATCCACTGTGGAAAGCTGTGCGCGCAAAATTAACGCCGATTTTCACCACGGGGAAAATGAAGAATATGGTGCCATTGATTGCGGACGCTGGTGCAGCGATGAATAAATACTTGTACAAACAGAGTATGATGAATGATGAAGTTGAAATGAAAGAAGTCACAGCGAAGTTTACAACTGATGTGATTACGTCGTGCGTTTTCGGTGTGAATGCAATGAGCTTCGAGCACGAAGACGCTGCATTCCGAAGCATTGGTCGAAGAATGTTTAATTTTAAGCTGGCGAATGCTATACGTGGCACGGCATACTTCTTCGCACCAAGGATTGTAAGCTTGTTTAAATTGAGATTCTTTGAAAAGGGTATCAACGAGTTTTGTCGCGATGCCTTTTGGGATGCAATCAATGAAAGACGGCGTACGGGCGCAAAGCGTAATGACATGGTTGATATTATCATCGAAATGTTGAAAACTAATGAATTTGGTATGTTTTAATCAATTTATTAAATATAATTATCAATAAAATTATATTTTATGTATTTTTAGAGGGTGATGAAGCTGTTGCGCAGGCTGTACAGTTTTTTGCAGCTGGTTTTGAAACAACAAGTTCAACTATTTCGTTTGCTCTGTATGAATTGGCTTTGAATGAAAATTATCAGACTAAACTACGAATGGAAATTAAACAAATGAGGGAAGATCATTCAGAGTTGGATTATGAAGCGATTAAAGATCTTAAGTTTTTGGATCAGGTTGTTAAAGGTATGCAACACAATTAACAACACATGAAAACCAGAAAAACTTAGTAAATAACTTTTTTTTTCTTTAGAAACTTTAAGAAAATATCCAGTTTTACCATTCCTGGATAGACGTTGCATGGAGAATTACGTTTCTCCGAATAAAGACTTAGTAATCGAGAAGGGAACACCAGTTTATATTCCAATTAAAGCTCTGCATTATGATGAACAATACTTTAAGAATCCGGAAGTTTTTGATCCTGAACGCTTTACTGATGAGAATGCAGCCAAGATTCAGCCTTATTCTTATCTACCGTTTGGTACTGGACCTCATAATTGTATTGGTAAGTTTATTTCTATTAATAGAACGTTTGTATTCATATTATTCATGTTGTATTTTTATTTTCTTCTTCTCAGGTGAACGTTTTGGTCTGATGGGAAGTAAAATTGGTATAATTGAAATTATATCCAACTTTTACTTGGAATGCAGTGAAAATACCCCGCAACCTATTGAATTTGATCCAAAAAGTTTCATTCTGCAACCTGTTGGAGGATTGCCATTGAAATGTATTCCTATTCACCGGAAAATGTCTATGGCTGGTTAGAATTTATTGTTATTACATTGTGCGCATTGATTATACGTTAATAATTACTAAGTAATTTCTTTTATATAAAATGTATAAGTTGATATAAGAATTTATCCCTTTGCAATAAAAAGTGTCTTTTTAAATGATTTGCCGTTTTAATTATTAGATTTTGAAGCAATTGTTTTCATAATTTTGAAAGTAATTATTTGAAAAGTAGGGACCTCTTTTCTCCTCTCTTGACGCTTACCCCCACCACTATTTGCTGGTTGTCCGCAGGTATAGGGCACAATAGACAGTCGTGTCTGAGTCTTCCAGCAATCCTGCAGCAGGTTTCCATGTTTTCTTTTTCTCTTCGAGTCTTCGTTTCAGGTTGCTTATCGGGATGTCCAAGCTCTAACTGAGCAACGCATTGCGTTAAAAATTTCTTGATGTAATCTAACAAATTATGTTTTCAAACTACGTAAATGTTAAAACATGAATTTTGTCCTTGTACTGACATTGAGCAATGCTTCGTCATTCATGGGGCACATGGTTTTTATTACTATAGAACATAAAACATTAATCAGATATAGTCATTACATCAATAATTATATGTTGTTTTATTTGGTCTACAAAGTCTAGACTCCAAATCCAAGTGTAAAGAAAAATCTGAAAATATTGTGCGAAATGGTTTTCAATAATCAAATTTAACTAGAATAAATATATAGTAATGTAATTATTGCATATCAATTTACTCTCTCCTCGGCAACAATTTACGACTTTGGGATTAACCCACGACCCTCGGATAAACAATAAAAGTGTTAACCGATTAAGCCAAGTCGAAAATAAATAAAACTCCTGCAATCAATCATATGTCAACTTGATGTATACTACGTAGTATTGAATATTATGTACTTTTTATTTAAATAACCGTTATTACCACTACATAACAAAAAAAACAACATTCAAAATGTATAGATTCATAATTATTAATTAATCTGCAAAAAAATAATTATATAACTTTTGCAAAGCACTTAATTGTGTTCAATTATGCATGACAACTCAATACATCAATTTTAGAAGTAGGAATAAGTTTAAAAACACATAAATACACATTGATAGTTTGTTTGAGTACAAGTTTCACAAAAAGTAGCCGCCATGCTGGTCCAGTTCCTAAATTCAGTAGTGTCGTCCATATTAATCTATGGCTTGTACGTCTTGGCGGCCACAATCATCATCGGCATTTTTGCTTATAAAATAATCCTATGGCAACGGTTTAAATTCTGGAAAGACAAAAACATCGAACAAGTTCCGCCGATTTTCCCCAGCGGTAACTTCCATGATGTTTTACTACAGAAGAAATCAATCGGAGAGTTCCTCGCTGATTTATACAAGTATTCCAAAGCAGAGATTACTGGATTTTATATCTTTCATACACCGCATATTCTTGTACGGTCACCGGATATAATAAAACAAGTGTTAGTGAGTGATTTTGGTTATTTTCACGATCGTACAATCGCCAGTGATGAACGTGCAGATTCCCTCGGATCGAAATTGTTACTCAACGTGAAAAACCCGGAATGGAAGGTGATGCGACAAAAGTAACACCGATATTCACCACGTCAAAGATACGTGGTATGAGTGAACATGTTGTTAAATCCAGCAAGGATTTAATTAAATATTTAGATGAGAATCACCATAAAGGTGCATTGGAATCAAAGGAATTGTGTGCTAAATTCACTACGGATGTTATTACTTCCTGTGCGTTTGGTGTTGAAGCAAATTGTTTCAATGATGAAGATGCCCCGTTCAGGGAAGCTGGACGTCAATTGATTGATACTACTTTTATGAATGGAGTCAGATTTATGTGTTACTTTTTGTTACCGGTTGTTGTGCGTATATTTAGGGTGCCATTCTTTCATCGTGGCACCATGCAGTTTTTAAAGGATGCATTTCTGCAAACAATTGGGCATAGAGAAGCAGTTGCTGGAGGACCACGTGGTGATTTGATAGATATCATCATTGAGTTGAAGAAGAATAAAGAATTAGGAGGAGGAATTAAGTTTGGTAATAGATTTTTGGTTTTAACGGTTTCTTGTGTGTTTAATTGTGTTTAAATGTTATTCAGAGGGTGATCGTGTTGTCGCTCAAGCAATTCAGTTCTTTGCTGCTGGATTCGAAACAACAAGTGCAACAATATCCTTCGCTTTGTATGAACTCGCCTTGCATCCCGAAATGCAAGATGAAGCTCGTCAATGTGTCCAGGATTTAGTCAACAAAGGAGAAAAACTTAACTATGACACTATGTTACAGTTAACATACCTAGATCGTATTGTTTTGGGTAAATATTTAATAAATTATAGATTATCCATAATATCTACAAATATTTCTTTGTATAATTACAGAAACTTTGAGAAAATATCCATCGTTACCGTTTTTGGACCGTCGGTGTAATAAAGACTTTACAATTGATTCAGGCGAGACTATTCCTAAAGGAACACCGATATTTATCCCATCAATTGGATTACATTATGATAAAGAACACTTTCCTGATCCACATAGGTTTGATCCAGATCGTTTTCTACCGGAAAATGCTAAAAACCGTCATCCTTTTGTTTTTCTACCTTTTGGAAATGGTCCCCATAACTGTATAGGTATGAAATCATATAAAATTTATAAAATTGATAATTATTGTTTATATTTTGTGTTACAGGAGAACGTTTCGCTATGAACGCAGTGAAAATTTGTCTCTCACATCTGTTATTGAAGTATAAAGTTGAACCTTGTGTTGACACACCAATTCCGATTGAATTCTCGCCGAAATCGTTTGCTCTGGTGGCAACTAAAGGAGTTCCATTGCGATTTGTTAAATTGGTTAACTAATTTTATGCAATCTACAGAATCGTCCATTTTGTAGACCTGGTTGAGGAATCACACGAATAAAATGACATTTTAAAGGTGAAGAAATGTTTTACTCCGACTAATATTCAATGTAAACAATTTTATACAACAATACATTATAAATCAGATCGTTGGCGATCGCATCATATATAATTAGAGAGATGACTAGTATTGTGATAACATAATAGATCTATGCATGTATAATATAAATATATGAAGGTGCGAAAACCGGTTAATAACTTAAATAATGATGATTAATCAATTCAATTCGAATAAACTTTACGAGTATGTTTTAACAAGGTCATGAAAAAGTTTCTAGTCAATGGAAACGAACAACTCAAAACACAAAAGGCGCGTGTTCGTTTGGTTTTTAGATTACGCTTGTGCAAAAATCAACAGTAAGCTCACAATTCCCTACAAAATTGCTCTACACACACAATACTCAACTTGTTTATACTTGCAATCGATAGAAATATATAGAAAATATGAAAACTTTAGTCACTAATACATTAGAAGCGTTTAAAATAAACTGCTATTACTTAAATATCTCAAATTCAAACAAAAACAGACTACAAAAGTTTGCAAATATCAATATGTACATCGAGTAGTAAGTAGTTAATAAACTAATAAATATTATAAAACACAACAAAATAATCTTTCAATCAAGATTAATTTCCCTAGAAATTAATTACTTGTGCCATTCTGGACAATAATCAGTATCGTTTCAATTAATTAAGTAGTGTGCAACCGAATTCACTCAAATTTAAGCACAGTTCATAAAATAAATTACTATATAAACATTCGTTAGCTCGACTAATTCATAAATTAAATATCATTATAAAGATTGACGCCTTGAGTACGCGACATCGAGTAATAAAGCATTAGTCATTTAAAATTAGGTTATTTAAATCAACAGGACTAGAAGTTACTGTAAATGAACGCAAAACGTCGTACTCTTCTAAGCTGCAGTTCACACACGTAAATTAGAAATAATTCTCGGGTATGCGTGGTTGGGTGGATGATCATACAACATGAATCATGGACGATGAACGACGAGTTTTATCCTAATTTATAAAAACTATGGTAGTAGTTTTGTCAGTTACCACTTCTCAAATTGTTTTCAAGCGTTGCGCTTTCATTCTTTGCTTGGTATCACTCTAATTTGTCTAATTTGATCAAATCATCATTAGCTTTAATTCTATTTTACGTAGTTATCGTTGAGTTAAGTTGAAACACTTTACTTTTTTGATCGATTTCTTCGATTACATCTTACTCAGCTTTCATGCAGCCTACTAGAAATTCCTTCACGTCAAATTCCTTGCGAGTGGAAGGAACAAATACTAAGGTCAATTGGTGTGTCTACTTTCAAGCAGTCGGTAATTTCTGCTAAATGCTGCATTCGTCGCTATCATCCGACACGAGCTCGTCGCATTGCTGTCCATCTAAATCCAGCACAACATCCAGATGCGGTGATAGCGGATCGTCATCGTTGTTTCCTTCATCGAACGAGCTAAAAATTAGAACTTGGTCACTCACAAATGCATCTCACTTACATCCAACTAAAAGGCGCAAAACATGTGAAAAGCTCAAAGAAAGTTTAATGTAAGCATTGTGTACAAGGCGGCCGGGCATTCTGAAAATAAAATAAATGTTATCGCTTGTTAAAAGACTCCTCTGCTTGCGTTAGAACGGACAGACACAGAATTTAGTGTTAGTACGTAAATTTCAGCGTTAATCGGAGTGTTATCGTTACACATTGAAGATGGAAGGCAGGATAACCACCGAAAACTCTTACCCTATCAAACCCACAATCGTATTCCCTAATAACAAGCATAACAGTTAAAATATTTCATTTAATATGTGTGTGGCATAATGAGGATGGAACCAAAATTGTATGACGATCAAAATGACGATACAACTTTTAATACTTAATGATTATATAATGGCGGAACTCTGGTGATACTTACAGACTATTAGGATCATCAGTGCCTCCTTCCTCAGCGACGAGTAACTCATACTCTTCGGCGGCGTATCGATCCCAGTCGGACAACTAAAATAAATCTTAAGTTAGAGGCCATTCCCAACTTCGAGGGATAACTGCGTATAAAATCGTTCTAGCCGTTACTTTACTGACGAACTAATAAAATAACAAAGATATTTGGCACAGCAACGGGCATAGGACTAGCAAATAACAGTGACAGAGAGAGACTTACTTCAACCTCCCTCGTGGGGGATTGTTCATTGCTCTTGGCAAAACAAAAAGAAAAATTAATTCAGTGTGTCGTTTGAATGTGAGTATGAGTTCGGAATCAAAGAATAAAGCGATACTTACTTCTTGACCGTCAATGTCGTGGTCACGTTGAGATGCAAACGGATCACGTTGCTCGTGATCCAAATACTTTTCAAAGTTGAAGAAGGTGTCGAAGAAGATTGGCGTCATCTTACACTTCTTCAAATCACTCAAAGCAATTTTCCCAGGTGTTGCTGGTTTCACCATGTCTAACATTTGACACAAACAGTCCTGTAACATCATAACCAATACATAAAAATGTTTTATAAGTTAATTTATAAACTGTACTGACTTCAAAGGGTAAAGTCTCAATGCCAATCATTTCCAATCGATGCATTTGCTCCTCGTAGAAATATTCCAATTCATACATGGAAATGTATCCGTCTCCGTCCAGATCCATACATCTGAACCAATACTCGATGGCAGTCGGATGTCTTTTATCCTCCTCGCTGAGCAAAAACCACACGAACTCGCAATATGAGAGTTTTTCATCGTGCTGGGTTTTTCTTTGGCCTCGAGTCACACACCCACTGAAGATTCTATCAATAATACGTTTGGAAAGCGCTGAAAACCGGCATAGATATAAATTATTCATGAAATATGTAAATCTTTTCGACTCGTACCATGATCATTGTGTCTGGTCATGTCCTGCTTGTCAATGAACAAATCATGATCGCGATCCAGCTCCCAGAACTTGCAGTAAATCACATAGAAGTGTTCGTAGCTGAAAAACTGCGTCACCTGATTGATGTCCTCCTCCTCTTCGAGAATCTGAAGTACATTGAGTAAATTCGAGCGGCGCAGTTCTGCTACGCTAATACGACCGCTCCACGAACGATTCACGCAGTAAAATATGCGTGCGATCACTGTGTGAACATAACGCGAATGAAATTCAGTGGCTTCCTTGAGGAACGTAAGCCCTGGATGTGTTTCGACAACATCCTGTACCAACGGGATGAAATCCTCGGGACTAAGCCAGTTCTTTTTACCGCGTGTGAGAATATACACGAAACGCGGAGCTGCATCATGACACGTGGCAGTCATCGCAGTGAAAAAACCTAAGAACTGATCCAGTGTGCAACTACCTTTATCCGCGCAAGCAGCGAGATAAAGAGGTGTTTTCCAATATAAAGGTAGTTGACAAGCGGTAGTCAACATCGCGAAATGTTCACGAGATGCGCGTTCGCCGATGGTAACAAATGCGTCCATTACACGTTGACGTATTTGCTCAATGGTACCAGGCGCTCCTGGTTTACCCATTGGGAAGTGGAAGCGTGGTATGTGCACATTGCTTCTGTTTGCGCGCACATGGCGTTGCAAAGTGGTATGCGGAAGAGTCGTCGGTTGTTTCAACAACGGCTACACAAAGTAAATTAATAAATTAACTCCTGTTCAAGATATTAATACCTAAGAGTAATTAATACCTGTGGTTTAGGAAGCGGGATGACAGGACTTCTAATCCTCTTATCCAGCAGGAAGTCGCTCGGACAGCGCTCGAAAATAAGCACCCGCTCGGCAACCGAGCCCCTCGTCAAGAAAGGCCGCACCGGATTCGACTGATTCTGACGCAGGTGTTGTTTTTGCGTCGTGGTTAATTCAGGATGCGGCACTTGCTGCTCGGTACGCCTCGTGTTTCGCACGCCCCATTTAGTCGCCACTTCGGTGCGACTGATCGCTGTTTCTTCGTTCAACACGTCGCCATTTTTCAACGCAGCGAGTAGTTTCTTCTCTTCAAGCGCGACTTCGTCTACGTAGGATGACGAGGCTGGTGTTGCGGCGGTTGGAAAAGGAGATACCGGCTTAGCGCCTGGACGAGCGTCGGAAGCGGACGATGCGGTTTTCTTGACGTTATCCGTCGTGATGACGCGATTCTTCAGCGGCCACGACTGCATAGGATTGTGGTCGCTGGGCAGTATCATTTCGATTGTCTCAGCAAGTCGTGGTTTTGGTGAGATTTGTGGTTTTTGACCGATTGCTGGCTTCCCACTAGGTTGAAGCTACAGAAAACAAAATAACAACACAATTTAATATCAGTTATCTATGTAAAAAATGATAAAAAAAACACAAAAAACAAAGTTTTCGTTTATATTCTCTGTAATATCCTAGATATTCGTGATAAAAATCTAACATCGCAGGTAGTTTTCATCAATATTGAAGATTTTAATCATGCAAATTGCTATTTTGCATGTTAAACTGTTCTGCGCGCAGCTTTGTTATCTCGGGAAATTTATTAATGCATGATTTACACGGGAACGCCCGATTTGTTCACTTTAAGCATGATTAATACTCAAATTGTCATGTAATTAGGTCAATCTATACAGCAGCAAAAGGTAATAACGCGAAAGGTCTTCCAATAATGTAAAACCAATCAAATCATTACACAAATTATGTTCACCTTGACTGGGGCGGCACCATTCGAAGGACTCGCATATCCATTACTGATAGGAGCATCCACTCCATTAGTTTTGGCAATTACAGGCGAATCACCACCACCGCCGCCACCAATCTTCGTCGGTAGTCGTTTAACTAAAGAACCGGGACTGTCTTGAGTCTGCTGTGAATTCTTCTCGAACTTCTGTAACGCAAATTGAATACTGGAAGGCATAGGTTTGCCTCGTGCAGCATTCCGGGCTTTATCCTCATCGACGAAGTTCTTCACCAGTTTCTCCAGGCGATTATTATCCATCGTCGGTGACTGCGCCAGCAGCTCGATGGGTTTTGCGGGCGGCTGAGGTTTCAACATTGATCTACGCCCACAAAATGCAATTAAAACATGTGTTTATGCGTGAAATTTATTTATAAACAAAAGAGGTTTACCCTAATTTGGAAGTGTCGCCGGCTGCATGGCACGATATCAAGTCGGCCGGACCAAGGCCACGACTCTTCCAATTCTGATAGATCGCCTCCGCCTGGTCGCTAATCTGTTTCGCAATCGCCGCAATGTCTTCGTCCGGATTTCGTCGCGCGGTCGTTGCCATCGTACGAGCATTCAAACGAAAATAAAAACAAACCAAAAACAAACGGATGGATGTCGGCTAGCCGAATGATGGCATCACTTCGAACGACTCATCTTCAGACATTCAAAAACACCTGCAACACAACAAAATGAAGACATAAATTAAACGTCTTAATTCCACCTGACTTTCTCTTGCATTAAGCAGTCTCTCAACTCAACATTTCAATAAGAAATGAAACACGGATAAAAAATATATTCACTGTTAAATGTGCTTTACGCTTCGCGTAGACATTCGCGGATAAATCACAATTCGCAATTTCTTTTATGCAAATCGTTTGGATTCGCGACGCGCACAACAACGGCATCCGACATAATAAAATGCTAATTCTTTGCAGCATCCGCGTTGAACAAAAATGCCTCATACCACCGCAAATATTCATAAATTTCCACGAGAAACAGTTAGAAAAAATGTGTGTGTGCAAAGGGAGAACGTGAGAATGTCGAATGCACGTTGGCTAGTCGACCGAATGCGCTTGGCATGTCTATAAATGGATGCGGGAATGATGAACATCCACCAGATGATATAAAACCACCGATAACATGCGCAGTTATCAAGTAACGAATGCAATAAACATGAACACACAACTGTACAACGCCGACATATAATAATTCACACTGAATATTTATTCCTATTTGTAGTTAATTTCTTCATTTCATTTCATTTCATTTTGCACACAAATAAATCATTTGTTGAGAAAATTTTCTTTGTTTTTTGATTAAAAAACACACAAAGCATTCGAGTTAAATCCGTAAAACAAACGAAAAAAAAGAAAGAAAGTCATTACGACGGATTTATCCGTATCGAGGACATGTGAATTCCGTATTAGCGTGGATTTTACCTGATTTGTTACTTTCATGCATTGTTAGTCTCTAATGTTGAATGTTGATTCTATGCGTTGCTTGTTTCACACTTTTTTCATCGTTTAAAAGTCCAGTTGCACTACAAACGTGTTAAAATTGTGACTGTTTACTTAAATCGGCACATTCCAGATCTAGATTAATGTGTTTTATTTAATGCTTGGTTAATTTGTACGAATCGCACGCTAGGCACATTAAAATGAGTGACGCACATTCAACTAGGCATGCGAATTGTTGGTAAAAGAGTACATTTAACTATTTAAGTTTTTATTTTATTGACTTTTAAAGGAAGGAAATAAACAAAACACGTTTTTTACGCGCAGAAAGTTGATAAAGCATGACGCATTTTGAATATATTTATATGAATACGTAGAAAATGATGGACAAAAAAGGATTTTACTGCCCTAGTGCTACAAAAGTTTTTTGTGAGTTGTAAAAACGTAAAAATTTATTTTTCACGCGTAAAATATGAAAATATGTAAAGAAAAACGTTTTTTACATTCATCCGGTCAAAACATTATAAAAAATGCAGTGAATTTACTGCCCTAGGGCCACAAAAAGGTTTGTTATCTATAAAACTTTAGAAATTTACTTTTCACAAATAAACTCGAGAAGAAAATAAATAAAAAATATTTTTTACAGCCACCAGCTTAAAAGAAAATTAAATATGCACAGAATTTACTGCCCTAGGGCTTAAAACGCTTTTTATAACTTGGAAAAACGTAAAAGTTTATTTTCCACGCGTACAATATAAAAATAAGTAAATTAAAATATGTTTATCCCCCCGTTACGTTAAAAATGCAATGAATTTACTGCCCTAGGGCTACCAAACTTTTTAACACCTCACATAAACATAAAAGTTTATTTTTCACACGTAAAATACAATTTTGTTACACAAATTTATGCAAAACTAAAAATAATGCACAGAGTTACTTTTTGCAGCAACTCATACGTGTGCTGTATGAATATTATGCAAATTATGAGTTAATCACAACGCGAGTTGAAAAACAATGCAACTTCCGTCTGTGCGATGAATATTAACACGGTTGCAGCCAGGCGTAAATTAAAAATTCTACGCGATTTAAATATCATCCACAAATAGCATATAATTTTATTTTTTCTAAATTCGTTTTGGTCATACTTCTTTTTTCCTCATTTTGAGTCCAGAAATAAAGAAGAAAGAACTCAGTAGATCGTGAAAATAAATCGTGCACATTTACTCGTATTATTTGCAGTGGACTGCAACATATATTGAGATACCCTGCAATAATGATTACAAATGTTGGCTCAGCCCGGAAAGAAAGCAGTGAAGAAAAATACTCGGCGCAACCGAAAGCAGGAAACTTATTAAATTGTCATATTTTCTCGAGCCATCGTTCAATCATTCTCAACAGAGTTGATTCCACCAGAAGTAGCAGCTCGGTATGTGCAAAGCGTGCTCATCGTTCACTCAATTTCCGGATACATCATCCGGATTTTCCGCGTTTTTCCTATTTCCACGTCGGGCATGAGAGCTAATGACATTAATAACCGTGTTCGGATACTTTTAGCACTGATATTTTCAGTTTTAACAACGAAAATGCCTGAAATATTTCCACAACACTGGATAAATAAGGAATGAGGAAGAAGAGGTCGTGCTTGGGGAGTCGTAAAGTCGCGATCGTACAAAGGCCGAACTAGTAAAGCATAACCATAACAAAAACTGACATTTCAAAAGGAAGCCATCTTCGTTTTAACAAAACAACGCAAAACAATATTTTGACTCATCTGAGAGGCAAAAATCTAACATTTTTATTAAAATTCATGTTGAAGTTGAAGGTTAACTGGAATTTTGTTTGTTTGTAACTTTATTGAAGTAGGTATGTACTTGTAAGCATCGTGAAAGCATCATGAGTACTGCATACTTGTACTTGAAAAGAGAATTTTGAAACGCGCACGCATAATCGAGCGCGCACAGCGTCTTCTGATGTCGATGCTGAATGAGCACTTAAGCGATTAGACTATTAACCATCGGCCATTAAGTCACGAACTCACGAGCGCGCCGCATTCATCCGCCGGCGTCTATTTTAAAGCGCAATTGTAATTTTGCTCGCCTGGAACGCACACAAATCCACACACACTCATGCGCGCACACTATAATTATGTAATTGCACTCGAAAAACTCCGCATCGGGCTTCGATTTCATCGGATTAATTAATTATAAACATGCTAATGGCTTAATTGATTTTTAATTGATCGATAATGCATTGGATGTTTGGATATGGACTAAAATAACAAGTTAATTGATTTTGGGTTTTAAAAATTAATAGAAATCTGTTGGTTTAGTTTTTGAGGTTAATATAAGTATAAATAAGGTTATGTAACTAGAAATAATGAAAAATTACGATTTATTGACTGAAATTTGTGGTATTAAATGGAAAAACACATTTATTTTTATTCTAACTGCGAGATTGACGATTATTTTAATAAAAAGATTCAAAAAACGCAAATAAAAGCAAAAAACTCAACATTGACGTAATTTCTTTGAATAAACGACAAATTTTTCGTTTTCTCCACAAAATATTGACGTAACAGGCAACGCCAGGCATGATATTAGTTTATTTACAAACTAAAATGTACTTTTTACCAAAAAACCAACAATTTTAGCAAGATTTTCCGATTAATTGCAAAAACATCATAATTTTCATACAGAGAAGAAATTTCATACAAAAACAACAATAATTCATGATGTAATCTCAAATTATAGCATATATTAAATTGTTATCACCTGACTTTAGTCTAATAGTAGCACTGGCTGTGTGTCTACGACTATTTGTATTCCAAATGCAAACAGCAAATATTTGAACGTAACCGGGGCGTGCAGCAATTTCTAAACTATAATAATACAACAGGATAATACGTACTACACATGTATATTATCCAAATCGCAACCGAATTCTTCAACTCGACACGAATTCATTCATTCAAACGTGTTGTTAGCGCATGATATAAACCAAAGCAAAGAATTTCGTTTCCTAACAATTTACACTTACGAAAAAAACTAGTTCATAACAAACTTTAAAAGTATTTCCATGAATTGAAGAATAAACAAATTGAAAACGTTTTTAAACATCTCCGAATTGAAGCGATTTCAATGTCGCGAATACGAATAACTTGTGGGAGGTTAAAATTCATATCCAACTCAAAATGCTTTGATATTTAAATTTCTAAAGCACAACCGCAACCACCTCCTACACCCACATCAATCACGTTAATTTCCAGTAGGCACGCTGTGGATGAAAAAATTATGAATTATACGCGCTTCTCTGGTCAGTGTAAAAGACTTTGTGAATTATAAACAATGACCTCGGGCATTCGCCGAACACCAAAAATAAACTTCACGCTCCGCGCGTTTGATCATAATACGCGCGCGGAGAATATGGAATGTTCTCAAATGAATGAGCAAGAATAATAATCAATAAATATCATGTGTATTGTTTGGTAATACAATTTAATTCCTCTGTAACACAGGTAATAAAACGCCATTTCGAATCGAATGATTTCAAAACGGAAAGCCTACGAAATGCCATGTAATGGCGCAACTGCAACATCGAATATGAATTCATTTATAATTACAATTACATTTATGAGTCTATGAATTATTCACATTGACTAAACACGTTAAAAACAAACAAATAAAAAGAATGTGACAAGCAATCGATCAAACAAATCACAAACGGAAATTATGTAAATTACGTGAAATTTTCATGCTCACAAATAAGGGTGAAATGTAGAATAGAGTCGTGGGTGTTGAATTTAAAACTTCGAATGGCCTACATTTTGCGTTTGTTGGTTTGTTAAGCTCGTTTAGGCTTGGCTTCACTTTTAAAATGTAAAACATCCTGCGCGCGGTGGCGAATGCGTGACTCGAATCGCAAAAAATCAACTGAATGATGCCAGAAAAATAAAATTAATCAAGTAAAATAAAAGAAAAATAGGGAACAAAGCTAATTTTGTTTTTCTGAAAGCACAGATTAAGGGGCACACCTAGTGTGACGACTTAAAAAATTGCCATTTTTTGGAATTAAATATAAAGGAAACTAGTGAATCCACCTATTTAAAGTTTTGAGGGTATATTTATACATGTTTTGTGAATACACAGTAAATTTTTTTAAATAAAATATTAATTAGTTTTGAAATGACACGCGATCTCCGGCGGCGCAAAAAAAAAGGTCCT